TGTGTTACAAATTAGGAGTGGCTATAGTTTTAAAAATTCTATCTGGTTAAAGGGAAGTCAAACAATGGGAAGTATTATTTGATTCAATTTCCTTTAAAAATGAAATAGGGATGAGACAAAGATTAGAATTAAGGGCTCCCCTGGTGGCTTAGCTGTAAAGAACTTAGCAACTAAAACAAGAAGAAGATACCTGATATGCAGTAGTTTTGTTTTGCTCCCCTTGACTGAAACCCTGGGGTAGTCACCATAAGCATGGTAGTTCTCTTTCCATACACTAGGGGGAGGTATGACACAATTACTTTGGAGGGGAGGTGGGCAAGTTGTCTATGATGATGTGCTGGTCTTTTTGAGACATTGTGGGTTTCCCCTCATTTGGATAATAGAAGATCAAATTAAGAATAACCAATAAATCATATTACCATGTCCTAGGAAGTTTTTCATTCTCTTGTTTTTGCTTTTTTGTAAACCTCAAGTAAGAATATTTTATGAATTTCCTTGAATGAGTAAGCAATGGAAAAAAAAACAGATTTTTCATATTTAAAAAAGTAATGATTAATAAATTAATGTGTAACCTCTACTCTTGACTTAAGTTAGTGGCTGCTTTTAAAGCCTCTACACCTCAGATTTCAAGATACACACATTAGGATAGAGGTACTAACCCCTGCCTGAGAAATGTTTCACAGGGCAGTGTGGTTAGGCACTCACTTGGCAAAATAACCTAGCTTTCAACAAAGCTAGAGCTCTCCTGTCTATCAAGTGAATGTGCATGACAAACTACCTCTTCACAAAATCCAAATACATTTTAGGATTTGAAGGACTGGCTGTAAAGAATTCCTCTTTGCATTTTTAAACTCTTAAAGATAGTCTTTTAAAGAACTGGTTAACTTTGGATCCAATCATCTGCAAATTCATACTATAGGTTATTTCATTGACTCCTCTGAGAAATAATAGCTCCTTTACCTGAATCTTTAAGCAATTATCCCAACAACAGTCATCAGAACTTTCTTGTAATTGGTCTGGATTTGATTTCTTTGAATCTTGAATGATTCATGTTACAGACTTGTACGTTAGTCATTCACAATTTATAAATGGCAACTTCACTTTAGTATTTATGAATTGCGATCAATACTCTAGCAATCAAAACACTCACCTTTTCTATTTCAATACTTCAATTTTCTTTTGCGTTCTTAACTCTTTCCCAGAATGCTGGATCAGGAACAAAGAAGTCCTCCCTTGTGGATGTTTGTGATGATAGTTTGGGGAGAAAGAATCTCTGAGATTAGGAAGTGAAGTTGTAGAAAAAGTAGATGAATCGGGAGTGTATTTGTGTGTGTGTTTGTTTATATACGTGTGTGGTGGTGGTGGTAGAAAGTACGAATTGTATCAGATCTCGCACTGATCTGCCTTCATGCTTATGTTTCAGTTTCTACGCATAGAAACTTGGCAAATACGGTCATCAACACCTACTTGGTCTTAAGGACACAGCATTCGAATTTCCACATGGAACTTTAATAACAAGATCACGGTAAACAGAATACCTCGAAAACTACTATGAGTGAATATTTGGATGTCAGCTTTACTTTGAATCTGGGCTGAGATGGTGGCGACAGTAAAGGGTAAAGCTCTAAGAATTACTAGCTAGATTTGGGTTTTAACAAGCTCCAAGCTTGAATTGACCGTGAGCCTTTCTCCTTAAAGGAAAGGCGCTTTTTCCTCTGGGGAGACATGGCCTCTCTTTCACTGGGCTTCCGCTTTTCTTCTGAAGCACTTTCATAATCAAGTGACTTTCCTTGCCGGGGTCCCTGGGGACCGCTGATTTTTCTCTGAGGATGCAGAAAGTTACATATTGATTGCTGTTGCTCGCGGTTTGTTTGCACCGGCGCGGGCAGAAGCGGGCGCGCCAGCACCCTCGCATTTACACACACGCTGAAAACACAACACACACACCCTGCCTCAGAAACACGTACACACCCCTCTGCGCCTCATTTAGATGGGTCCACGCGCAGCCGGAAGATCTACGCCTTCCTAGGTATGGGTGAGTGTACGGTGCGTGCGTGCGTGCGTGTGTGTGTGTGAGAGAGAGAGAGAGAGAGAGAGAGAGAGAGCGCAGAAGTCCATCAGGAAGACCGCAGCTATCTTATTCTGCAAGCACGCTGCGATTCCGGCTTCCGCGTACATCGGATAAAACAATAAATAAATCGCTGTCAAACTTTTTTTTTCAGATTCTCTTTTTTTCCAGAGGAAGACGGAGGAGGCGTTTCTCCCGGCAGTTTAAGACTCGGGGGACCCTGCGGCGAGGCCCGGGGCGCCCCCGCCGCGACAAGCGCGGGGCTGGGCCAGCCCGGCCGGGCCGGGTCTCGCGGCTCTGATCAATGGTTCTGAGGCGCCGGGACCGGAGGCCCCGCCCCCTCCGTCTGTCCGGCGTTCCCATTGGACCGGGGCCGGGGAGGCCGGGTCTGGCGCCTCGCGCCTATTGGCTGGCGGGGAATCAGTATCAATGTTTAAGCGGCGGCGTGAGGTGAATAGAGTCAGTCAGCGAGAGGCGCTGGGGAGAGAGTGGGGACTGCGAGCCCGGCGGATGCGGCAGCGGAGGGCGGCCGGGGGGACGCCGCTCCAACTGTTGAATTTTCACCTTTCCTTTCCACCGGTGCTGTGCCTGCAGACATGGATTTATTTGCTTTGAAATCCGCACGTCTTTCCCAGGCTGTGAGCTGATCCTGTCAGGCACCAGATTGAAAGAGACCACCCGTGACAGAAAAGGAGGAAAAAAAAAAAAAAAAAGCCTCCACAACGGACTGCACAATTAACTACGCTCACCAGTACTGGACTTTGTGAATAGAAAACACTGACAGGAAAATCGTGAACTGTTATGCGGAGCTAAGCTGTGAACAGTCTCTCTAATCCAGATTTTTTTCTCTTTTTTTTCTCACCCAAGTCTCTGAAAGATTTGGGGGTTCCTTTACGCCTAACAAAAAGGGAAGGTTTTTTTATTTTTATTTTTTTTCTTTTTTAAAATAAAAACACCTAGCAAAACAGACGCCTTGCTTTCCAGAGCCTCGGACTCCGGCAGAAAGAGGTAGAGTAAAAGTGCCGCTGGATTCCGCTTCACCTCCCTCCTCCCCTCCCTCCCGTTCTCTCGCTTTTCCTTTTTTTCCCAAAACATGAATCTGGCTTTTCTTTCTGTAGAGTGAGTCAGAGAAAGCGTTAGGAAGAAGCCACAACTAATGTCTGTGAAGGGAGGACCATGAGGCGAGAGTGAATTCGATTCGTTCCGCTGCTTCTGACTCATCCGGCAGATCGGAACACCTGCATTTCTGGATGTGTCATTCCCGTTTGTCGAGGCGCCTCGAGAACCCGAGATATTGTGTAGACAGACCCGCGCCTAGCATCCCCTGGGCGGTAGCTCCCCGGGGCGGGTGCCCCGGCTGAACCGCCGCGGCCGCAGCTCTTCGTCCGCTGCCCTCGCGACTCGCCCAGAGAGACTGTGAGAGCGAGACTGCAGAATGCATCACGCCAAACCTTGATGTGTTCCTTTCATCCAGCCCACTCCTACTATAGGAAAAAAAAAAAATTGAAGAAAAAAGAAAAAGCCCGCACTTTATTCGCTTCAAATATTCACCACTTTTATTCCTCGCCAAGGTTTTCCTTTCTAGATGAAGAGGACTGGGAGGCAGGGCCATTGGAAGGAGATGCTGAATAGAAAGAAAAGAGAGGCACTTGACAGCCCAGCCCTGTGAATGCAGAGACTGTTTCCCTTCTAGCGAGAGACAGGGAGAGTGTGTGTGCGAGGACTGGGAGGGTAGCTCCCCCTTCCTTTTTATTCCGCCTTTCCCTCCCCCTTCAAATCTGCACATCCAACCATGAGTTGCCTGTTGATTTCCTTTCGCCTGAGAAGAAAAGCAAACTGGAATTAAACTGCAGGGAGAGAAGTCCTTGCTCGCGGGCAGAGAATGGGATGGTAGCGGTGGCTACTGGCTCAGCATAGAGAAATCAGAGTGCGTTCTACCAACAGAGGCGGAGATACATCTCTACATTTTCCCCCTCCCAACAGACTCAAACCGCAAACGCCGATCAGGCTGTGGCTTCCTCGACTTGGGGGAGAGCCTTTTCCGAGGAAGAGAGGGAGGAGCCTCGTGGAGGGAGGAAACTACAAATCCGGACACTAGTTCTTTGCGCTGCATTTCCTCCCCTCCCTTCGGCTGCTCGGAACGGAGAGAGAGAAGGGGGGAAAAAAAAAGAAAGAAAGAAACACCCTTGGCTTGGAGATGCAGTCTGCCGCCACCGCTGCCTCAGCCGCCAATGCAAGATTAGATCTCTAAATGCAGCAAAACGCTGCCTGAAAACAGACCAACCCGCGAAGCAAGCAGACATTTCACAAGGCTCCGGGGAAGCTTCAATATATCTGACTCTCTCTCTCTTCGTTGTTCCTCATTCCCATCAATTTCATCACTGGAGAAGAGAAACAAGTAAGGATTTCACTTTCTGATCTGCCTAGAGACACACCTCCCAGCTCCCTCCCCCACTCAATGTGAAGAGTATTCCGGAGGCAAAAAGCTGGAGTGGATTTGCAGCGCCCTAGCGGGAGTGAGGAAAACCTACGGATTCTTCAGCTCATTACCACCCTCCCCAGACGCTATTTCCTTCTTATCCGCTGGTCTCATCGCTCAAGTTTGAGTCACCCGAAGTCCAGAAGGGAGAGACAAAGCCCCGGGCTCGCCCCCAGCCGCAGGGAGCCTCCGCCTTGTTCAGTGCCCCTGCAGCTCCGCTGCACCGCTGCTCCCAGCCCAGTGCGGATGCTGTAGATCAACAGGTTCGGGGAACTTGAGCGGAATAAGGAGAGACCGCCGGGTGCCGCATCCCGGGAGCGGAAGGAAGAGAGGATCCAGAGATTTGTGGCTCGCGTCGGGCGCGGAAGCTGCGCCCGGGGCCCCAAGCTGGCGCGCACCCATCCGCTAGCCCCTCCAGTCCGGCTGCTTCTGCCAACACCCCGCCGGTCTGGGATGTACCTTTCCATCTGTTGCTGTTTCCTCCTATGGGCTCCTGCCCTGACACTCAAAAACCTGAACTACTCCGTGCCGGAGGAGCAAGGGGCCGGCACGGTGATCGGCAACATCGGCAAAGATGCTCGACTGCAGCCGGGGCTTCCGCCCGCAGAGAGAGGCGGCGGTGGTGGCGGGCGAAGCAAGACCAGCAGCTATCGGGTGCTGGAGAACTCGGCGCCGCACTTGCTGGACGTGGAAGCGGACAGCGGGCTCCTCTACACCAAGCAGCGCATAGACCGCGAGTCTCTGTGCCGCCACAACGCCAAGTGCCAGCTGTCCCTCGAGGTGTTCGCCAATGACAAGGAGATCTGTATGATCAAGGTAGAGATCCAGGACATCAACGACAACGCTCCCTCCTTCCCCTCGGACCAGATTGAGATGGACATCTCAGAGAACGCGGCCCCGGGCACCCGCTTCCCTCTCACCAGTGCGCACGACCCCGACGCCGGCGAGAACGGGCTCCGCACCTACCTGCTGACGCGCGACGACCACGGCCTGTTCGCGCTGGACGTCAAGTCCCGCGGCGACGGCTCCAAGTTCCCAGAGCTGGTCATCCAAAAGGCACTAGACCGCGAGCAGCAGAACCATCACACGCTGGTGCTGACCGCCCTGGACGGCGGCGAGCCGCCGCGCTCCGCCACAGTGCAGATCAACGTGAAGGTGATTGACTCCAACGACAACAGCCCCGTCTTCGAGGCGCCCTCCTACCTGGTGGAGCTGCCCGAAAACGCCCCGCTGGGCACAGTGGTCATTGATCTGAACGCCACCGACGCCGACGAGGGTCCCAACGGCGAAGTTCTCTACTCTTTCAGCAGCTACGTGCCCGACCGCGTGCGGGAGCTCTTCTCCATCGACCCCAAGACCGGCCTGATCCGGGTCAAGGGCAACCTGGACTATGAGGAGAACGGGATGCTGGAGATCGACGTGCAGGCCCGAGACCTGGGTCCCAACCCCATCCCGGCCCACTGCAAGGTCACGGTCAAGCTCATCGACCGCAATGACAACGCGCCGTCCATCGGTTTCGTCTCCGTGCGCCAGGGGGCGCTGAGCGAGGCGGCCCCGCCCGGCACCGTCATCGCCCTGGTGCGGGTCACCGACCGAGACTCGGGCAAGAACGGGCAGCTGCAGTGCAGGGTCCTGGGAGGAGGCGGGCCGGGCGGCGGCGGCGGCCTGGGCGGCCCGGGAGGCTCCGTGCCCTTCAAGCTGGAGGAGAACTACGACAACTTCTTCACGGTGGTGACCGACCGCCCGCTGGACCGCGAGACCCAGGACGAGTACAACGTGACGATCGTGGCGCGAGACGGCGGTTCGCCTCCACTCAACTCCACCAAGTCGTTCGCCGTCAAGATTCTGGACGAGAATGACAACCCTCCTCGCTTCACGAAGGGGCTCTACGTGCTGCAGGTGCACGAAAACAACATCCCGGGAGAGTATCTGGGCTCGGTGCTGGCCCAGGACCCCGACCTGGGCCAAAACGGCACGGTGTCCTATTCCATCCTGCCCTCGCACATCGGCGACGTGTCCATCTACACCTACGTGTCCGTGAACCCCACCAACGGGGCCATTTACGCCCTGCGCTCCTTTAACTATGAGCAGACCAAGGCGTTTGAGTTCAAGGTGCTTGCTAAGGACTCCGGAGCGCCCGCGCACTTGGAGAGCAACGCCACGGTGAGGGTGACGGTGCTAGACGTGAATGACAACGCTCCGGTGATCGTCCTGCCCACGCTGCAGAACGACACGGCCGAGCTGCAGGTGCCGCGCAATGCCGGCCTGGGCTACCTGGTGAGCACCGTGCGCGCCCTCGACAGCGACTTCGGCGAGAGCGGGCGCCTCACCTACGAGATCGTGGACGGGAACGACGACCACCTGTTTGAAATCGACCCATCCAGCGGCGAGATCCGCACGCTGCACCCCTTCTGGGAAGACGTGACGCCAGTGGTGGAGCTGGTCGTGAAGGTGACGGACCACGGCAAGCCCACCCTGTCCGCGGTGGCCAAGCTCATCATCCGCTCGGTGAGCGGCTCCTTGCCCGAGGGCGTTCCTCGGGTGAACGGCGAGCAGCGCCACTGGGACATGTCGCTGCCGCTCATCGTGACCCTGAGCACCATCTCCATCATCCTCCTAGCGGCCATGATCACCATCGCTGTCAAGTGCAAGCGCGAAAACAAGGAGATTCGCACTTACAACTGCCGCATCGCCGAGTACAGCCACCCGCAGCTGGGCGGGAGCAAGGGCAAGAAGAAGAAGATCAACAAAAACGATATCATGCTGGTGCAGAGCGAGGTGGAGGAGAGGAACGCCATGAACGTCATGAATGTGGTGAGCAGCCCCTCCCTGGCCACCTCCCCCATGTACTTCGACTACCAGACGCGCCTGCCGCTCAGCTCGCCGCGGTCCGAGGTGATGTATCTCAAACCGGCCTCCAACAACCTGACTGTTCCCCAGGGCCACGCGGGCTGCCACACCAGCTTCACCGGGCAAGGGACTAATGCGAGCGAGACCCCAGCCACGCGGATGTCCATAATTCAGGTAGGAGACTTTTAGCGTCACTGGGACTTCACTTTCTTGTTGGCCTGGGGAGCTGTCCTGAAACCTTTGAAACAGGACGAGCCACACTGCCAGCTGCTATGAGAGGGGCACTTACTAGGATTTCCACTTTGGCCACTGCCTGACCAATATATTCTACATATAACCCCTCCCATGTGAATAGTCGAAAACCTACAAGATGTAAAATGTCTTACTTTTGTTGCATTTTAAACGTTTATTTTTTTTAATAGGTTTTACAATGTTACCTGGGTTCAGTGTTCACAGTTTATTTTACTTTGCTGGTCTGCATTTCTCTCCGCAAAAGAGGATTACTAGAGTAGAACATTTTTTTTTCAGTTAATTCACTTAAAATGTTTGTATTTCATTAAAAGAAAATCTGATGGCAAAAGACAGAAATGGATTCCCCAATATTAAGTAGTTGACTACTTTTTAAAAGAAGCAAACTACTTAAGTACAGCATAGCAACCAACAACCAGTCAGAATTTTCAGAGCTTGACTCAATATCAGTTTTTACCACCACCCCCCAAATCAGTGCTTCTCTTTGAAAAGTATTCTAAAGGTCACAAATCTTATTAATTCTTCAGCTGAAACTGCAGACAGTGCATTAGTGTAGCTTAAGCTTGGAAATGTGAATTATACTCTGAAGATCTTTGAGAAACTTGAAAAAGTATAGGCTCTAGATATGACTTGTATATATCTATGAAAAGTTTCTATTTATTTTGTCCTGTGATTTTCCTGATCTGTTTCCTTACGGTCATTGAGAGATGAACAGATACACTAGAGGGGCGGTCTCATTCTCTGCTGTGAAAACAGGAGGCAAAGTTGTAGTAAAGGCACCTGTACCAAAAGAGAATTCCAGGATGCATTTAGTTTGCATACTGCATATTTTCAGTATATCTAAGTGATATTTAATATACATCAGATAGTAGATTCACATTATTGGTATATGAAAAAAACCTAACTGACCCAGCATGGGCACTAGACTAACAAAAGCAGTTGACTGTAGAAACTAGTTACTACCTAGTTTCTTTATCTACTACGGAGTTGTATCACAAAAACAAACAATTTTTGCTTATCAGTGTGTGTTGCTAAAGATTACTCTGGATGAGCAATACTTGCAATTTGAAATTGAGTTTACTGAAAGTGACATTTTGGGAGGAAAGTTAGTTTGGGGCAAATGAAAACAATTTGCTCAGAATTTTGTGCTTTGAAAAAACAAATACCTTTTAGTGACACTTGACTCAGTAATGTTTTTTATTATTAAAAACATTTATTATTATAAAACAGTAGTAGAATTTCATAATCTTATCATTTTACAGCAAAACAGTGTCATAATATTTTAATGTCCTTATAAATCAGACTCATACTGAACACTACTGAATACTAAAGTATCCACTGTAGTTTTAAATCCCATTTTTTACAGTGTTTACTATACACTAGTAGTTGTGATTTTTGGAGCTCTCTATACAACTGAACGAGAAATTTCTCCCATGAAAAATTATAGTTTCTATGAAAGTCTGTGTGTAAAACTGGTATTTTTGATAATTTCTATAAATACACTTGTTATATACTTTTCTTATAGTTTTACCATTGACAGTTAAAAAGATATCACAGAGGGTTAATGCGTAATCTTCCACTTCAAGTACTATGAGTTGAATTCTTATTTAGTGTCCAATAAGAATGAAGTTTGTGCAGTGAGATCCTCAGCAAGTCTGATTTCTGATCAGTTTAGTGAGGAGTGATCTTGGGTGGAAGTACCCAGGAGGTTTTGCTGGACAGGGGTCCCTGTACAGTGTTTACACCATACTGTTCTTGAAGCTGGCCATTGCCCGAGGGACAGATGATGATGATTCCTCTCATTAGCAGTAAAACTTGAGCCAGAGCAAATCATACACACACACACACACACACACACACACACACACACAGTCAAACAAGGCTGGGGAAAGTGAGTTTGAACAGAAAACAAAGGAGGCAAACTTCCTTATTTTCCTGCTATTCCCTTTCTTTCAGAATCTTACTTCATGACATAAAGGCACAGGATAAGTTTAAGCTCTTGAAATGGTTTCCAACCTGGCTCAGTTGCCCAGATTGCTTCTGCCCTGGGAATATCCTCAATATACAATGTTAAAACAGGCTCTTTTGTTTTCTACTGAGTTTTTGCAGTCTTATAAGGGATGCCTTTTAAGTTCCTAATATGTTAATTTCCTTTTAAGTGTGTCGGGTTTTTCTCAGTGCCTGTTATGGGGAATAGAGTAAATTGAGTACAGTGACCTTGCTTTTTTTCTTTCTTTTTTAAACTAATGTGCTGCAACCACTTTATGCTGAAGTGACATGCTCAAATTAAAGTGTTCAGGCATACCATATTCTTGTTTCAAGTTCATTTATTAGTGTGTGTTTATTTAACACAGCCTGCTGAGGAAACATACTATTAAACCCATGTATTTCTGAAGGAAGAATTTTAATCCACAGAATACAGATGGACTAGGAGCTATTGGGTCTGGTTTATCTTTATTTTCCAGCATCTTGGGTGCTGTTTAGAATATTCCCAGTGCATTTCTATTGATGAATGAAAAAAAAAATCATAGTTTTGAGATACACTGTTAAAGTGTGGTGAAATGAAATTTAGGAACTTTGGGATTTATAAGACTCATGGTACAACTCAAATTAAAATTTCTCAAAAGATTTTGTGTGAGTTGCAGGCTCGAAAATTTTAAGACTAATATCTATAGATTTTTCAGCATGAATTTTTATTGAGAATAGATGCCGAAAAATCATGTAAGCTGGTGTAAAAACAGTGGTTTGTGAAAAGGTATTTTATTGCAGATTTTCTTCAAGTTTCTTAGCCCATGTAAAGTCAGTCTATAAAGTGTTCAAACAATTGACTAGTGATTAAAACATCCTCAGTAGTGTGAGTCATAATACAATACTATTATAATGAAATATCTTATTAACTTTAAAGCCACAAAAGTAATTTGGAAGAAAACAGGAATACAGATTTTGTGGTCAGTTAGACAAATAGATCATTATACAAATTTATAAAACACTCTTCATCAGAGCAGTTTTCATGTGGATTATTTCATAGTTTAGTATGAGAATCTAAAGTCAAGTGGAGGTCATTATTAATTGTCAACAGTAACTGCTAAAGGTGACTTATCAAGAATTATTTATTAGGTAGCCAGGTAAATTTTCCACAGATGTTTTCAATGATGTCCTGGTTGCAAGAGGGAGCAGGCTGGGGACTTCTCACTGGTGGGAGAATTTCCAGTTTTGTTTGAACATCTGTGTTTTCAGTTTTGTTTTTTTTTTTTTTGATAGCACCTAAAATGTAGTCATCTTAATATGCTGTCATAGGAGAAAATATGTTGAGCCAACAGTATAAGATATACTAAAATAAATTTTTGAAAGGAATACATTCTTACACAGTGTTTTACAGTTCAATTTTAAAAGATTCACATTCTGGTTGACTTTAGACTTTTTATCCTGGAAGAGGAAATCCTTTTGATATACCTGGATGGCCTTTTCAATAAAAGTGAATTAAACATATGAAAATACCTTCAGTCAATCCAAATATATAAAAATGAGATTGAGGCATAGAGGACTCTAGTATCATAATGTAGACAATAAACTCAGTATCTTAGAATGAAAGGGTGAAAGACAAAATACATCTTTCCTAGCAACATTAACCGTTGTCTGTCTTGTTCCTACTTCTCTAATATAAGAGATTTTTGGCTTGGGGCCCGGATGAGTTCTCAAGACCTCAATTTTCACAACTTCATACTCTGGTATGGTAGGCATTTCAGTAACAAGCACAAAGTATGTGAATAACTTTTTTTCATTCATGATTTTAAAGAATCTTTTTCAGTGTTAGTCCAAGATGAAACAGTTTTATTAGGTAAATGCACTTATTTCCATAAACTCGATATACGTCTTCTTCTAGGGTTTGTGATGGGCTGAGTAGGAAGGGAATATCCCTATCTTACTGCATGCCTCTAGAATTATCTTGTCTAATTGCATTTTTAAAGTTTTTTAAAAGATAGGTTTAATTTCTACTTCAAATTCATGTGAATACACAATCATAAAACATATCTTTCTGTTTTTGAAGTTGAAGTGTTAGTCGCTCACTCATGTCCGACTCTGCAACCCCATGGATTGTAGCTCACCAGGCTCCTCTGTCCATGGAATTCTCCAGGCAAGAATACTGGAGCGGGTTTCCATTCCCTTCTCCAGGGGATCTTCCCAAACCAAATTTGAACCTCGGTCTCCTCCATTATAGGCAGATCCTTTACCATCTGAGACACCAGGGAAGCTGGCTTCCTGTTTTTACTATATATTAAAAATAGTACGAATAAAGTAGGGATAAACTTTAAAAGATACTCAGCAGTTAAGGTGGATACTCAGCAGTTTGAGTTTCTTTGGAGACGAGTTTAAAGTTCAAATTATTATCATTCTTAATATGTTATTATTTTTATTCTTAGTTTTGTGTGTGCTTTTGAAAATCTCAGCTGCACTGTAAATCTCTGTGCATTTCTCTATTTTACAATAAATAAAAAAACAAAAGTCATAACATTTTTGCTGTATGAACTAGAACCCTGAGGCTCACTTTTAGTATCAGCTGATCTAACTGCTCATAAGGTAATAGTGTCTTTAACAATTATTTCTTAGTTTTCAAGAAAATTTTCAAAATATTATCTAGATGGTACTTTATTATCTTTAAGGTCTTATTCTTACATCTTTATCAGTCTTTTAAAATGTAACAGTAAGATGATTTTTAATTTTATTTAAGTTCTTTGAGTGACTTCTACAATTTTTCTTGAATTCTATGAGTGAATTTTGTAATATCAATAAATACTATTATATAGAAATCTGCATGGAGGATTTTATTCTTGGCATCTTCTTGTTATTTAAGGCTGTGTGCAATCATGAAATATAGAAGGCCATAGAAAAGCATGCTAAATAAAATTTCTATTTCAACTGCTTGA